AATTTTCTTAAAAAAAAAAATTAGTTAAAATATAATTATTTCTATTGAATATCTCATTGTGGAAATAAAAAGGATACAAAATATGAAAATCATATATTCTTTTATTAGTACTTGTACCACTTGGATTTATATGGAATTCATATGGAATTGTAAAGGAATAACAAGTTGGTTAATTTTATAATTCAACCCAAGTACCACAGTAATTACACTGTTTTGACTTACACAGGATAAAGATTAACTGAGCGTTTAAATGTGAACCGGCAACTACTGATATGGCAATAACAACTCACGACTCCATATTAACTATTATCCAGCCTAAGGTAGTTGTAAGTTGCTATACAAGAGAACTAGTGCAATAAATTAACTTTGATCTCAATAATGTTGTGAGACCCGAAACACTGAACCGTTCCCACATTTTCTTACATTTATTCTATCCTATATTTCTTTCTTTCCATCGGCAAAATGTTTTGTCGTTGATTTAACTTGATCTAACATTTACAAACCCGACGGAATAGTCGTAACGGGACCGTATGCACATGGCACCTCATACCATATGGTTATCAAGCTACTTTATAGGTCATGAGGTCACATTTCTTATACCAACCTACAAGACATTTGATCTGGTCAAACCGAGTTAACTACCATTCCTCCGGTTCATCGATCTATCATGAGTGTTATATCAAAGTTATACAAACAGTGTTGCTAGTTCTTCAATAATTAGATGAGCCGACCTGTGATACTTCGAATTATGATGATTTGAGATAGAGTTAGTTAATGCATTAACGTAATTGCGAATTAACTGCCCTTTTAGAGTTGTGTTAAAACTTTTAAGGGAGAACTTTGCCGCCTTTGTGGTCCTACCTGGCTCGATTCCAGATTAGTCGGTTCCCCTGTGGATCCGGAAACCGAAAGGTTCCTGTATCAAAAAAAAAAAAAAAAGAGTTGTGAAACTAATTAAATCTAACAGTAATTATTATTACTTGAATTACTACTTGAAGTTAAATTTTTAAACAAACTAGTATTCGATCATGTGCACATGTAAAGTTGCAAATAAAATTTTATATGCTATATATATGTATGTAATATTTAAATCATAAGTTAAATGATGAGCATATCACATTTTATAAAAATTTATCATTAGTAAAAATAAATAAAAAAATATACAAACTTAATTAACGGAAAGTAGCTCCTTTTGGAGGGAAATTTTTTTAGATTTTGTTAAATGTTTGGCTGACAATTATATTTATAGATATAATAAAATACACTTCTGAAGATAATAGACACAGCTCGCAACACAATTAATAATAGAACTACGTCAACAATTTCACGAAGATAATTAAAAGGATTAATTTTGCAATTTCACTTAAGTACCATGTGACACATAATTTATTGCAATTTAATTCTCTAGGTATGTGGTTTTCATATATTCCAAACGTGTCGGCAGTGAGCAAAGGGAAGACATGCACTACAAGAAAACACTTCAATTCTAACGAAAAATTTCAACGGCAAAAATTTATATTGGAAATTCCAATGAATATTCCAACAAACTTAATTTTATGCTGGAATAAGTGTTGGATGATTGAGGAATTTCAACAAATTTTTTTCCAACAGATTTTTTCCGTAGTTGTAGGAATTTATTTCTATAGGATTTTCCGTTGGATTTTAGCTATTCTAACGATCGTTTTTCCTACGAATTTTTATACGTAGGAATATCCGTTGGAATAAGTATATATTCTAACGAAAAATATAAAGAATTTCCGTTGGAATATAAAAGTTTTTTTTTGGTAGTGATGTGAACGTTTTTTCTTTTCATTTATCTTATAGAAGAGACCGCCAAATAATGTTTTTGGGCCATTAATTGCATTAGCCAAACACCATCCGTAGACTTATGTCATTTACTGTAACATCGTGAATTGAACGATGTGAATTAAAGTTGCACAATATAAAAAAATGGCACTACAAGCGCTGCAGAAGCTACTTCCCAATATAACGACAGCAAATAAAGTATTCTCATCATAATTTTGCCCGGTAATCGACCAGGGCAGGTCTCTGGATCACCGGGTCATCGGTTCAACCGTTGGGTTATTGGGTCAATTCCTGAACCGAATAATTAATTTTAAAATTTATAATATTATATATAGAGTATTCTGTCATATAATTATATATAAAAGTAACAAAATTAAATGTTTTGTATGTAAAATTTGTAGATTAAAGTGGTAATAATGTGTATTTTTTTGACAAATATTTACTATATATACATAGTTTTAATTTTTTTAAATAAAAAAATATATATAGGGACCGGGTCAACCAGGTTGACCCAGCCGGGTTAATGCCCCGGGTCGACCGAGTCAATGATGGGTTTTGATCAGGTTTGACCGAGTCCTTTGTTGTCCCGTCCAAATAGCCTACCGGTACCAGTACTGGTTCCGGCTCCGAGACGATTGGATCCCAAGTCGACCCGCCGGCACGATCCGGATTGAAAAACACTGCTTCCCAGACTTTACTATTAGGAAAAACACAATTTAAAATTTGCATTTTCCCCTTTGATTTAACCTTGGGTTTTGAAAAAAATAAAAAAATAAATAAATAAGAACCGGGAATAAGGGTTACATGTGGAGGAAAACATAATAAAACCCAAGGTGCCAGAAAAAAAAAAAAAAAAAAAAAATGTTGAAATAATAATAGAAAGGGAATATTTGGGAGTATGAATAGGGAATTAGAAGGTAATTAATTAATGTGTGGGTTATATTTTTGGTAGCTTCACATGCTAATTATAAATACACTACTTTTTACATGCACTACCAAACAAACTCTGCTTTGTGGATCTCACACACTCGAGTCAACGAGTCTATTTGTACTCTTATCTGCAAAATTTTGTGTGTGCGTGTAACAAATCCTGGGTATATTTGTATCAAACATAGCCATACACTCATATAGGCATTTTATATTCACTATTCTATCATAGGCAATGACTCAATCAAGTTATTTGTTTAGCTTTAAGCTAATCAATATTAATACATTTTCGAGAAAATTACTAATTTGGTCCCAAAACTTTTTCTGTTTCTCACATTTGGTCCGAAGTAGCACCACATTTATGGTCTTTTTTGATTTTTTGTTGCCAAATCGGTCCTCTTCCGTCAAGACTTAACAGTCTTATTAATTTAGACGTTAGTCGTTTTTTTTTTTTTAATTTAGAGTTGCAAATTTGGTCCCAAAACTTTTGCAGTTTCTCACATTTGGTCCCAAGT